CAAGTTTGGTTGCCGGTCATGTGTTCTTTTGGTTACTGGGATGGAGAATGGTCTTATGTTCGATGTTGCGATCCATTTGTCACAGGTTATGTTGCTCTCTTCTTGGTTACAGAGAGATGTTTTCAAGACGAAAACATTACGATTTTGTGATTTTTCTCTACAAGCGAATGGTTCTTTTACCATGGTCTCATTTTTTACTAGAGTTGAATTGAAGCTTTGTTTGATCGGATGATAGAAAAATATTCTAAGTCCAACATAGCTGTATATGAAAATCTAGTAAAATAATGGTGACTTGGTAATGGATGAACAAAAAAAATGCATTGGTCATATTCGAGGATATGCAAAAAAAAATTATTTTGTACTTGAGTGATATTATCCAGAGAAAACTCATTGCAATGCATTTTGGATGATTAACTGAGTTTAGATATTCCTACGGAATCGACTCAAAATGAGTAAAAAAAAAAGATTCGAGGATATGCAAAAATAAGTAGACATCTTATTGTAATAAGAATGAGTTGTATATGTTTTCTTTTATATTTTTTAGTGCAATGGCCGGAATTTTATTTACTTTGTAATTTTCTTTATGTTGATAATCTCTCTCTTTACAGAGAAGTTTTGCTTATACATTACTTTTGTTTCCACTATACAGCACTGAATAGTCAACTATCTCCTATTGGTCTCTTTATCATACAAGGAAAATAATTTTATCGGAGATAGAAGTAGTTGAATTTGTATATTAAACTCTGCAACGGTATCCACCATCAAATACATTTGACTCCAGAGATCAAAATAGAATATGCATCCTAAGGAAAAAAATTATGATAATTCCAGTAGGCCATTAGAAGTATATTGTCAAATTCTTGTCAAATCTATCTGGAAATTTTATGGATGTGATCTTTGCTTCAATCTCTTTATCATTGAGCTTCACTGACCAACCCACAAAGGCAAGTTCTCATCTTCAAACAAAGTTGAATAGAGCCATCCAATGGCAAACCGGAATTTCTTCAAACCGGGACATCAACATGGAACATATATGTATCTGGCTGAGACTCTTGAAATCCGTCTCAGCGAGTAAAGGGTTTTCTGAACTTATTCCTCAGCTGACCACAAGCAGCACTCGCATCAGGCCTTCTCGTTTGCCTCAGGCTTGCCGCTTATTTGTAAAGTCGCTTGCGCTCATCCGCTATGGGGTTATAAGGTATCAAATTTACGTGATAAATTTTACCCCATTCACTGAGTAGCTCTGCGAGTTCCAGTTCCTTCGTGTGCTCTGAATCATTGACTCTGACTAAATTATCTTTTATGAATAAAGCAAACGAAAGCTGATTCGCCAAAAGAAAAGCTCGAGAATGAGTAAACAATTTTATTATATGGCAATCAAAGAGACGAGCGATCCAGAGCACATATAGCATGATTGAAAAATAAGATTTATGTTATGTTTGGGATAATCAGGACGTAAGAAAGCTGAGTAAAGTACAGTAGGCAGAGTAGTACTATGGACGTTGAAGAGTACTATGGATCATTATAACCTTTGTGATGATGGAATGATAACAAAAGCATCTTTTGATATTAAACAGAGCATATGGCAGGAATTGGTTTCTTTTGGTAATTGATAAGTTATACAATCGACATCGGACATATTTGACTATATGCAAAATATTAAGATGGATCTCAACGATCATTGTGGTAATGGAAGCTACAAAGCATTGAAGATATGGAAAAGAGTATGTTTT